GTGTGTGTGTGTGTGTGTGTGTGTGTGTGTGTGTGTGTGTGTGTGTGATTTCTCCTCTGCTGGCTGGAAAAAACAGACAGACAGGAATCAATATCAAGGCCACAAAATCAGGCAGCAGAGAGTTGTGTTGATAAGGGTTGTATGTGTGTGTGAGATGAAATCAAGGGGATGATGTATTCACACAGGGTAACTATCCCATGGATGGGTGTGTGTGATGGTATGTGATTGTATGAGAAGAGGCCTGCTGCCAGTCATGTATATCATTTCACCCAGTGAGCTAATCTGCTACTCTGACAGAGATTAGATTACTGATCTTTCTTCTCTTTTCTGCCCTCTTTTTTGAACCTCTAAAACCCTCCTCCCATCTCACTTTTCCAACCTCCATGTTTTAATTTCTAATCTTCCTAAAACACACACAAAGAAAAAAGAAACATCCTCTGTCTTCTTACATTTCTTGGTGCTGCTCTTTCTCAAGCAACAGTGTATCTTGGATAACCTGGATAACCCATCTGGCGATGTTTATCCTCCCTGGTAGCACAGTTCTACTCCGCATGTGGACTGTGAGATAAGAGAGTCTCCCATGAATGCAAGATCCCATAGCTCTTCAAAATCAACCAAATTTAGGATCTGTGACATTCACACACACATACGCATCACATATACTCACACACAGAAACGCGCGGTCCAGTTGGTGGACTCCCAGCGACACAGACGGGGATTTAATGTGTGCCAATCAGAGACCTCCGTGAATTTCTGTCACAGAATAGTMAGTTCTCTTAGAGAAGCTTTACGAACCATGTGACAACCTTGGAAAGACATGTTGTGTGTCAGTCTGTGTGCAGTGTATGGAAGTGCACACGCAGCCATGTGCACATGACAATAATAGAGCAGCTCAGAATAGTCCAATCGAATTCATTTGTCATACATTTCCTTCAGTCAGCTCCCTAAATCTGCTGAAATGGAGACAAATGCTGCAGGACCAGGAGGTAATCCTCACAGACATGAGGATTTCATTGCATGGTTTCTGTACTAATACTCATAATCATCGGAGCAATTAATTATAGAAGACAACGTAGTGTTTGGCAGCTGTCACTTGCAAAACCTCAGAGGGGGAAGAAAAAAAAGTAAGTTTGTTTTAATTAGATTTGAAGGAATAAAGGGGCTGATTTTCTATTTTTGTTTCTGCATATTTAAACCCCCGTGAAGAGACCAAAACAGTTTATGCCCCTTGGTTCCTTTTCAAGATGTGAATTTTTAATTTTCATTGAGCTGTTCAAGTCAACAGCTTTACTATTTTGGAAAGAAAGAAAAAAAGCTGCTCTTAAAACCCCTGGCAGCGAAACATAAAAATCAGCCCCTTTGAAGGATGTTCATTCAACTGTTTCATTTTGTAGAAAAATTTCAGAACCATGACAGAAAATGGTTTTATGTAATAGCTTTGTAAAACATAATGGAAAACGGTCACATTTCTGTGCCTACTGGCAGTTGTTTGTTGTCACTTGGACTTGTAAAAGAGAAAAACAACATTATGAAATAAAAAAAACACCACCACTTTTGTGCCAGAATTTCAATGTAAGATCATGTTGTGTTGGGAAATTATGAAGTTGTTCCCAGTCTGTGCTCTGGATGACTTTCGGCAACTATCATAGTTGTAGATATCATTATGTTTAGGGTTGATTGGCTGTGGCAACTATCTTGAATTGTTAAATTTACTTATTGCAAACCATGTAAAACAATATCCTGAACTATAAAACAATGCAATATTTCAGCTGTATATTTGCAGTTCTGAAATGTTTTTGGGACCACACTCAACGTCAAAGCCCTTAACTGAATCCACTGAAAACCCCATGAAACCTTGAGTCATGCAACTGACCTACATTAGGCTGGTCTTRCGTGGTGTGGTAGATTGGACAAGTGTATAAGCTTATCCCAAGATGCATTGTGGGCCGACCGGGGGATTTTTCTTGCCTGTAATGGYAGAAGAGAGTCAGGAGTACAGTTTCATAAATTAAAATCTGGTGGTGCAAAAATGGAAAGCTTAAAGTAGTTGTGTTTTAAGGCTTTTGTCATTTGCATAGACKTGATTTTAACAGTTMTTCTTGTCAGAAATCATAATAAASAAGCTTGTAGGTTCCTTGTTTTTTTATAWATTGCCTCTAAGCTAATTTTGTTCATTTATARTGTTAGTATATTAGTATTTTGCTCATTTCAATCTATTGGCTRGACYRTCCAAATTCACAGCCACTTTCTTCCGGTCATGCKGTCAACGAAGCATCCRGTCTACATGKGCCAGGTCCTTTGAAGGATGCAGTTATTGAATTTGAATACAGATAAAGATTGCCATTAACTCTCACAGCTTTTGTGAAAATTCTTTGAAGTTTAACCTTACCTTGTTAAATGTCAAATATCTCTACTTTAAACAAGGTATTTGTAGTTTCCATGATTATTGCCACTGATGACCTACACCATTTTCAGTCATCTTGGCTTTTTCCACGGGTAAAGAAACTCCCACTGTAGTAGGCATCCAGCCACAAATTTTGCTTACATTTAAAACTCGATGACACACACACACACACACACACACACACACACACACACACACACACACACACACACACAC